AAAAGTGAAAACTGCCCCTACCCTCCCCCCCACACACACATTATTAGACATTAGTGTGAAGACTAAAAATTAATTTCAGATGAAATGAACGAAAACTAAAAAAGTTTACATTTGTTTCATCAAAAAAAAACACTTTTTTATGCTATTTTGGATTCAGCCATTGGCGTGTTCTGGAGGCAGGGCGCATGACGTCATATAACACCGCACGTGTTGGGTGCCGCCATCTTGGTGTATATCTAGGTATACACCAAGATGGTGGGGCCAATATCCGCGTGTGACGTCACCTGAAGCCACGCATTCATGGTGTCATGTAACGTCATGCCTCCAAGATGGTGGCCAACATGGCCGCCGCACATTCTCAAAACAAATTATTGTGTGCCTGAATAAATTTTTCGTATATATTCGGACATATAGTAATTAATTAATTTACATGTAGTCGGGGTTTTGTGTTCTGTTTTCTATTTTTACTTTTCTAGATGCCCCTACTTGAAGAAAGGGTGTCGGCATGACATCCTGACACTTTATTTTTATAGACTCTATTTTAGTTTGACATTTATTGTTTACCTTCTGTTGTTTTATTTGAAAATAATTCTTATATTGTGCCTACAAGTTTAATACCTTTGAATAAAAGTTTTATTTTTATCATACTTTTTAATATGTTTTTTTGCCGCTTAACAAAATAGGAGTCTTTAAATGGTGCGGCTATTGGAGGAAATGGGTGTGGTTACGGGGGTGTGGCCACTAAAGGGTGTGGCCACTGAGGGGTGTGGTCACTGAGGGGAGCTGTAAAGCTTTCTCGCACAGGGCGCCTAAAGGCCTAAGGCCGGCCCTGGAAATATGCCTTTGATGCCTGAGGAGGTGGATGAAAGAGATTGGGAAGTCACTGATGTTGTGGAAGACCTGGATCCCCTGTTTGTACCCATGATGGGAGAGCTGAATAGAGGAGCTTGTGTTCAGCTCGGCATCCAGACATGCCCCATCCCAGCTTTAACATTATTTTAAACACTGAGGGGCACTCCAAAAACTGATAATGAACTTAGCGGAAGCTGAAAAGAAAAATGGTCTGGAGCCCATTATGTTTTCTCTGCTCTTCCTCATCATCTCCAGTTTCCTTAATATTACTCAATAACTCTAGTTTAGGTTCAGTTTGGAGGATTTCCCTATTATAAATCTGTACTTGAAAACCCTCAAGGTAAGCTCAGTAATATAGTATAACATCTACAAAACAAATATTCCATTTAATATAGTCTTCAGATGACATATTGTTCGATTTCTATATTTTCTTAATCATTCCCCTTGTTATGATCATTCACGTTCTTTGTAAATCATTGTACTTAAATTTTTATGTAGATCCTCTTATAATCACTCGTGCTTATTTTTATATTTACGTTTCCCTGGAGCTTATTGTCAAGTTGTTTACAAAATGTGATGACATTAGTCTATAGCCAAAGCCAGCTGTCACCATCCACAAGGAAAAGACTGTGGGTCTTCTTTATCCTATGGCATGTTTTACTATGAGGAATGCTTTGTTTTTCTACATAGATACAGGGTGACACATTGTTTTCCTCTCGGTTGTAGCCTGTGATTGGATGATTTCTATAAAATAAGCTTATTCTCTACCCAGCTACCAAGTCAAAATTACAGGCACAAGCACCAATGGGGAGGTCAATCTGGGTTACAGTCAAAGTGCTAATGCTTTAATGGATGAAGGGTTTAAGAGTTTAACTGTACTGTTGTTTACTATCTGACCTGCTGCAAAACTATTGCAAACCCCCCCCCAAAAACGTAATTGCTTCTATTTGGGGAATTTTGGAGTGGCACCCTGTAGAGAAATCTATCAATAAATGCAATATCTGAGAAGGTAGAGTGAGAATTCATCTCTTGCAGTCAGTCCTCATCACATCATAGAGACATGAACAGGAGAAGCTTGTACGATGCTTGGTTTAGCCTCCTAGTAACATTAGTTGAAGCAGTGCCAAGTGGTTGGTGATTTTTAAATGGATATTACCCTTGTAACTCTTTGCTGGCAGTGATACATTAATCAAATTAAAATATTTACACTGGATCCAACACTCAACAACCTCCTGTATCCTGCCCTCAGCCCCCCCCAACAACCACCACATTTGCTGAGGTCACACGATAGAGGATCAAATTAATAAACAATTTCATGTGTCATTAAAGCAAACAGTTTTTAAGCTATTTCAAATGCTGACTGACTTACAATACTGATTTGGTAAACATTTGCGCAATTATCGCAGGACCTGCAAAGTTAGTCGTTTTGGGGGATCTTTTACAAACTCTAAAAGCTGCAGTTAAAAACTAAAGAAAAGGTGAAGAACAGCAAAAATGGTATGACCAGCTGAGGTCAAAAGTGATAGGCAGGGCTTTGCAGTGGAAGGGTTAAAGAGGACCTGTCACCACTAAAGTGCTTTCACATGGGAGCTTGTGAGCACAGCTTGTGAGCACCCTATGTGATAGCAAGAGAGTTAAGAGAAAAAAATGTTTTAATACATAAAGTTAAATAAAACACATGTAAAAAATACTGTGCGTTGTGGACGCTGGGCAGTGCCATATACAACTTACCTTTTTTTAGGTGCCATTACCAATGAATGGCAAAGCACAGCAACACATACATAAATCTGTGTTGTGGCACGAATGAGCCCTCTTCTAAACATCACCTGCCGCTGCCTATCAGATTTAAACAATGTTTAGGAACATTGTTTAAAAACTGATTGTTATAAAACTGTTCTAGCCTATTATTTATTTCTTGCATTCCTTGTGTGAGCAGCTCTCTTCACATTATACCACATTGTTTCAATGGGAGCTTTGCATATGTATTCTAAAAAACACATCAGCTTATTCAACACTGAAGGGGAAAAAACGGTGTAGAACACAAACCACAACAAAGGAATCACATGACCTGATCCAACAAACACTCGCGAGATTGCCGCAGGATCGTTACCTAGCAACTGAACGCCGGCGCGTAATTACAACATTAAATGGTGCAATGGCGGATAACCGGAGAGTGTCGGTGCCGTCCCGCAAGGTGAGCTGTTATGAGGACAGGTGATGGGTCCGTGGGGCTGGAAGTGTGATAGAAGAGCACGATCCGGTGTGTGGGCACAGTGCAGTCATGTTTTCCTGTCCGCATATATGTCAGCACCGAGCGCATATGGTATTCTAATGCGTGATCTCTACTGTGTACTGGGTTCAGCTGGTACCTGCAGCGATCACATTGTATTTTTGTAGGATAAATGAAAGAAGCGAGTTTATCCACTGGACAGTGCACCGTGCACGGCCCATTCACACCAGACGCTGCGCTAATCACTCAGCGTCTGGCGTGCGGTGCCTGGCACACTGCTGAAGCCCTGATCCCAGTACATCGCACTGTTTACTTTTTTTTGTTAAAACTTTATTGAAATGACGCAAGTGACATTTCATTCAATTCTACAGGCACAGCAGGGTGCGAGGCCATTGTACTGCGTCACATTCACCTGGCCTGAAAAAAAAGTACAGTACTGTACTTTTTCCAGCGCACACCACTGCGTTCCCATCACAACGCCATGGTGTGAACTGAGCCCATCTGTGATGAGGCAAATTCCCTTAGCAACCAACTAAGCTCTAGCGGACGTCTAAAGACGCCCGCTCAGATGTAGAGAGCTCGGGCCGGCTGTTTTTTTACTACGGCCGGCCCGGAGGTGGTTAAACCGAGTTTGCCTGAGCCTGTGCAAAACTGTCAGTGATTTTCTTTCTCCCTGGCATATGCAGTGCAGTGTAAGTCCTGGGTGACCCATTCCTGGCACCTGTAAGAAGCCAAAAATGGTGCCAGGATGGTGTCATTTCAGCTTGCATGTGCCGGAGTTACATTATCACTGGTCTCCCCCATGGTCGTAAAGGGAAAACGCTACGTATTCGTCCTGACATACAATTATGCTTTAATAATAGCTGCAACTTTTGAAAATACGTTAACACTATTTAGTTTTAGATGGTGATCATGACGGGCAGACCCTTCCTCTCTGCCTTGTCCAATCAGAAAACGCCTTGTAGCTATACAACGTTTTCTGATTGGCAGTGGCGCGGGAGTGAGCAGCTCCCTGTGGAGAATTTATCAAACCTGGAGCAGACAGAATTTGCAGAAGTTGCCCATGGCGACCAATCAGATTTCTCTCTTTCATTGTCAAAGCTTAACGGAGTAAACTGAAGATAGAAGCTGATTGGTTGACATTCACAACTGCTCCTCAATCCATCTGCTCCAGTTTTGATAAATTGCCCCTTCCCGTGTTCAGTGTACTGATGACAAGGCTTTCCAGCAGCATTCGAAACAGGACGACGCTGAGTATACATAGCACAGACCACTAGAGTGATTTTCAGCATCCCCAGAGGCCCTCTGGATGTGATACATGCATAACTACATGTAACCAAGCTGACCCAATGTAAGTTGTTTAAAAATAGATAATTCTTGGAGTTCAGCTTTAAAGTGGAACACCAGGAAAAACACTTTTTGACTTTTGCTGGGTCCAGTTTGGTTGCCTCAAATGTTTGGTTTAGCATGTCTGGAGGATTGCTGGCAATGCTAAAATTCCTATCTGTATTTATGCTGGATGTTCTGGCAGCTCCTACAGTGGTTGTTTACACTCCCCCTTCCTTCCTCCCCTTCTACAGTCAGAAAATGTCTTGTATGCTGGCCTTTCTCTAAATGGATAAGGGGAGAGGAAGGGTGGATGAGCATCAGGATCTCCCCTTGACCATTTAGAGAGTCTTGTGGAGGAAAAGCAGGGGTGTGGGGTTCCTATCCGATGACACCCGGGACATGCAGTTACGGCGGTTGTTGTTGTTTTTGGGGGGTTTTCTACATGTAGCCCTGCTGTGGGCAAGCAGTGCTAAATGTAGAGCAGGGGGAGCCAGCAATCTCTTTGTAGAAGTGATCTGAGCTTCACTTCTAACAGCTTGCTTGTCCATCCCCCTTGCCTCTCCCCGGCCCCCCCCCGCCAAGGGGATCGGGATGACTACACTGAGCAATGAGATGGTTAAATACGGTTTTGGTTAAAATTGTTTTTTGTAGTATGACAAGTAGATTGGGCCCCCTGCTTTAGATCATGTACAAGTAGTTTTTTTTTTTTTTACATTTCCACCACCTGCAAAGGACCATGAAATGGGAGAAATAAAATGAATGTATATACTAAATACTATCAATGCAGGTTTTAAGTCCATATGGCTACCAGAATACAATCCCTGGAATTCATAAAGCCTGTCATAGACACTCATTAGATATCTGTCTCCTGTCTGTGCAACAAATGGCGCAACTTGGGACAGATTGAGGGAACGGCTAGTAAGACTGGCCATACACCTTACAATTATCTGGCCCCACTGGCTCTCTAAATACCTGAACAATCTGATTGGATGCAGGCATTGATCAAGTGTTTTGAGAGCCAGCGGGGCCGACTAGCAAGATTACGGAACTTGGTCCAGCGGGAGATTTCCTCCATCCACACAGTTAAGTGTAGATGGAGGAATCTGTTGCACCTTTTCCATCTGACCACAGAAAATCTGCAGATAATTGTAAGGTGTATGGCCAGCTTAAAGTGTATATGAATCTGTTTCAGAATTGGTTTTCACAGAATGTTGTCTGTGACAACACTTACACGTGTGACACAATTTACCTCCACTTCTCTTATCACCAATATGGCGGTATTTCTTTATGAATTTGTCACACCCCTAGTGGAAAAAAGTGTTTCATAAAAAAAAAAAAAAAATCTACCTTTAATTTGTTGCAAGCATCAGAAATAGCAAGAAAATGGCTGATATAAATTTAGCACAGGACTTTCTAATATGGACATAGTGGCAGAAAAGTGTTGCAAATGCATTTCTGAATCAACCCCGAAATTTTTTTTTTTGCTATAGTGGGCTGTTAATAGTAATGCCTGAGGATTTCCCTGAAGCTACAGTCATGGTTATAAATGTTTAAACATTTGCCCCTTTTCCAATTTCCCAAACATGTTTACCAGGGGTGGACAGATTAATATGGAATTCAGGAGCCAGTCTGTCCAATCCAGGAGCCAGCAGGATTTTGTTTGGACCCACCCCATTGACAAAAATTGGAGAAATCCTCAAAAGTTAGGCACAGCTGTAAATTTTAAGGAGCATTGGGTGACCGACCTGTCTGCTGGGATTTGTTCTACCCTGACTGTTATTGTATAGTAGCGTGAGATCTACTCCTTGTTATATGTGAACGTTGAAATTGATCATTTTCAACTTTTCAAGTAATTGTTATGAAAAGGTTAACACTACTGCACACAGGTTACCTATGCAGTTTATGTGCAAGAGGCTAATAAGACATTCAAGCTATTAAAGTGTCATTTTAGTTTTCAAATGCTAATTCTTATTTATTTTAGGGGAGGAAAACAAACAGTGCTGGTCAAGTAGTTGCTGGCTCTGTTAAGAAAGCCTCACAAGACAGTCTTTTGGCGAAAGAAGAGGAATACAAGTATGTTTTATGCTGCCTTTCAAATGCCTTTTCTTGCCATCGCTTATTAAATGTGTCTGTTGGTCAAAGAATATCACATTTTTTTCAATTTCCACTTCAGTCAGTTTCAGCTTGTTTGTTCTACTGCATCTCTTGGTATCCAAACATTTGTCTTAGACACACTAAAGAAATAATAAATAAATATTTATACACATACACACGCTTAGGTTAGTGCCTCTTTTGTAGCTGCTGTGCTTTGCGCTTCATCTGCAGTTTTGGCATAACATAGCAATTACTGTCAGTGTGGGGTGACTGATGATGGGCCTCCTATGCTTATGGCGTTCGCCAGCTCGTTGGCTGGACAAATTGGAAAGAACTTCCAATTGCAGCCCCTGCCTGTCCACCCAGTCAGCTGGGGCAGAGTTGGAGGAGAGCCAGAGGGCCATGGCCACACTCCTTATATCTAGATATATATATCTAGATATAGATAGATATCTCTCTATAGATATATAGATATCTATCTAATGTAATATTTAACATCAATTTTTGGAGAGCTTTTTTTTTTTTCTTCATTAGTTTCCTCTCCATTTTCTAAAGTAGTACATACATAACCGCAAAGTACAGCACAGTAGTAGCAAACAATCATATCCGTACATAATCAAACCAAATAATTAAAGAGATAGTCACTACTCCAAAGAGTGCAGGCACATTTCTTCCTGCAAAAGTAGTAAGTGGGCACTTAGTTTTGTTGCATGTCTTAAATACATAAGTGTCCCTATTTCAGAGAAATCTGCTCCCCTGTTTTTGATGTTTTGAAGGTTGGATCTATGGGCTTTGTTTGCAAAGCTGAAAAGGGAGGAAATGTATAAGTATCTCCATTAGTAATCTTATTTAATAGTATCTTTAATAAAACTAGAGAACTACAAAAATGTTCCCCACGGTCTCTTGTAATCTGGAAGTTTAAACGCCTTCATGTGGAAGATTTTGTCTGCTGCATTTAATAGATTGCTTAGCCTGTATTTGGCATCTTATTGCTGTACCATGGTCGTGTTAGTCCCAGATTTAATCACTGCCATTTATTAAAAGAAAAGAGATTGACAGCTCACCGAAATGCACAGAACAGCAGAAATGGTAATATTTGTGATCCAGATTGCATATCATTTTTATTTATGTAGGCGTCTGAATGCTGAATTGGAGGCCAAAACAGCTGAGCTTGTTCGCGAGGCTGAAGAAGTGATGGTAAGTGCAGTAGACAGGTGCTTATCTCTGTCAACACAAAATGCAAGTGGAATGTCACCCTTCTCTTGTCTGTAGCTTACTGTTTGGAAAGTGCGAAACATTGAGGCCAAATATGTCCACGGAACAAAAATGTTTTATGTTGACATGTAACCACAAAGTATTGTGGTCGAAGATAGTGGTTTGAAGTTTAAAGAAAGACTAATTTGACCAAAAAACAGTTCTCCTTTTGTTAAATTTCTTTGTTGTTTCAGAAAACTTAGTGAGTCATGTATTGAAACAAGGATATCAAAGTTAAAAAATGAAAGTGCAGTGGCAGGAACCACAATAAGGTTCTAAGGCTCTCATATGACTTCCCTACTAGGAAGGGCCAAGGCTCAAAGGACAATGAACATACTGTTGGCCATCCAGATAATCACATTATAATAAACATTATTGGAGTAGAATGAATTCCACAGTACATTTTAAGGGCTCAAAATGCACACCAAGACCTTCCTTTGTATTATTATTATTATTATTCAGGATTTATATAGCGCCAACAGTTTGCGCAGCACTTTACAATATAAGGGAGACATTACAATCGCAATACATTTCAATACTTTTCAGATTGGAGTATCCCTCAATAATACTCCCATTTTTACCACATATCCACATTAATTCTTTGATAAAAGGAATGGCAGTGTATGTATTTTTCTCTGCAATTAGAAGTTCTGCTAATGTGTTGAACAGGTTTTAAACCAACTCTAGATTTAAAAAAAATATTTTTGCATAGTTTTGAAGGAATGCTTAGAACCGATGTCATGCGTTTATCAATACACTAGCTTTCATAACTCATCTGGTGCTGAGAGCAATGCCTTACCCTAAGCTCTCCCGTTACACAAATTCTCCTTTGTAAATCTAACCTTTCCTTCTTTAAATTTAACCCCTTGTTTGTATCCTCTCCTTTCCTGCACCAGGATCCTCTGCCCCCAAAGTAATCCTACACCAAAAGGTCCCAGCACCATTATATATGGATTCATTGTTTCATTACTTTATCTGTCCCCGCTTTTGAGATGTCCGCTATATTCCTATGCTTTCATACCCTGACATGCAGGGTTTTACCAAGACAGGAAGTGAAGGGAAAATCTCCCCACTGGGGGGCATAGATGACAGAATAAACCAGCCAAGGATTTTAATTTTCTCTACTAAAATATATTGTTATTGCTGTTTTTCTGTTTGGGAGGTTTCCCTTAACTTCCTACCCACTATTGGAGGGCTGCATATAGCCACAGCAGGGCTGTGAGTGGGTTCCTGGCTATGTGGGGCCTGGGTGGTCATCTGTGCCAGGCTCATTCCAACTGACTTATGATACATATATGATACATATATGATACCCATCAGAGTTAATGGGCCTTTATGAGTAGTAACAGACTAGGGGATCCATATACAGAGTCAATCAAGTTTTAGCAGCCTTGTATAAACTATCTGGGGGGTGGATAGAAGACCAGTCACTTTGCTCAAAAAGAGGACAGCACGATCAGTCTTTTTTTATTTTTTTATTATGACACTCCTGCAGGTTTAAAGTAACCCTGTCAGCAAAGGGTGACCTGTATACCACTCCATACCTGTAAAAGAAGAGGCAATATACTTGCCTTACCAGCAGCTTCTGTATAAAATGCTACATTGCAGCTCCCTGACCCCGGAATGTATACTTCACTTCCAAAGAATACCTGCCACACACTAATTCCTTCCACTGGTTCGTACATCACTATAGTACATATGAATGAACTGAGATTGTTTATCAGGGTTAGGGGAATGGGACACTCTAAGCTCTAGCTGACAATTGGGCCCATTTTCACCACAAAAGGTATAGTATAGTATAGTCAGATTGCAAGCTAACACTGTAGCGGAAGACATAATAGGGCAACCAAACTACAACAAACTGAGGGACTGATTGCATTACCTGGGGAGGTGCAGTGTAAGAGAGACAAACATCAGATGAGTCAGGAAGAACAGCAAAGTAGAAGCTAAAATAGAAAAGGTAGCTAAAGATAGGAAAGATATTAAACAAAGAAGATGTTGGGGTCCAAACAAGAACACAGACAGATAACCAGTAAAGACTAGATCAGAATGATGCTAGGGGCTACTACACTGAGCAGACGCCACCAAACAGCAAGAACTGGGAAAGGAGGCATGCCACTCTGCAGAGAAATGGAAAGCAGGCCCCTGAAGTCACCTAGAATCAAAGTAGGAGGCAGTTAAAAGTTAAGCAACCCCTGGGTTCTTTATCGTTTTTGGTATTTGTTCTCTTTATAGGGCTCATTCACAAGGGCATGCACATCCGAACAATGTGCATGTCCATGCAGAGTCCTACTCCTAGGAGGGACAGGCGCAGTGTGTAATTGCGTGCAGCCGTCTGTACAGTCTTTTGCTCATGTCTACATGCTGACCCGACACTGCACGAATGTCTGCGTCCAAACCCGTGCACCCGGACCTGCACGGATGTTCAGGTTGGCGTGCAGCCGCATCCTCCTAATAGCTACATGCAATAGCACGCTGCACCTGTCCCTACCAGGAGCAGGTTCCTGCACAGACATCCATACCATAAAGATGTGCACGCCCTTGTAAATGAGCCCTTCATGTCAATATGTAACTAGACACGTATGTTATTGTTGCGAGATCTTGAACATGACCGCATCAATGCAGCTGTATGTTTGTATAAAACTGTTTAAAATAAATAAAAAAATGTGTGGCAAAAAAAGTTAAATAAATTCTGTATGCGATTAGAATATGTAATCATTTATTTCCTGAATACTGCAAAGGTAAATGCTAACATTTTTCCTTCTTGCAGAGAGAGCAGGAGCAACTGCTCTCACGACCATCACTGACACAGGTTAAACTCTTTGATGAAGATGAAGATGAAAGCTTGAGGTGAGAGAGTATTTGTGTGGATTTTTTTTTTTTTTTCGAAGTGCCCCTTCGAATTTGGATAGGGTCTGACAGATAGCCTTGTAGGCGAATCTGAGCTGAAGGGGAAGAATAAAGAGCATTTACGGAGCTGAGAAATTGGGGCCCGAAGCCCCAGGATTTAAGAAGTTGTAACAAGTGATCCCAGGACACCGAGGCAAATGCTTTTTCCAAGTCTATAGATCCTCTGAGGTTGGTGAAAATGCTCTCATGCAGCAGGACAACGATCTGAAACATACTGTATGTCTATTTAATGCAAAACCTATCCGGTGAAAAAATAGGAAGCTAGTGCTATCTTTGTGTGGAGCCGGCACAATCGCCAGATCTCAATTGTATCAAGCTCTTGTGAGAAGAACTTCACTGTAAGGTCACAGAAAAATGGCCCACAATTGCAGCCCTGGGAAGAGCTACAGAAGATGTGGGAACATTTTCCCTGAATGTCTCCACAAACTAAAAGCTAGATTGCCAGGGAGCTGCACATCTGTAATTACTGCAAACAGAAGATTCTTTGAAGGTAAACTTTGATGAATAGAACAGTTAGAGAGAATGTTATGACACCGTCAATGTCTTGACTGTCATTTCTGATCAATTTAATGCTACGTTGGTGAATAAATGTGCCCCTTGCTATTAAAAACATGATAATTCGCATGGAGTAACTCAAATTTAGCTAAAACAAGCTTAGTGTATGTATGTGTGTATGTATAATTTATCATTTCTAAGCCTTTGTAAAATCTTACAATAAATGCTCAGTTTTGAAATGACGGATTCACATAGTACATGAAAGGTCAATATTAGTGTCTAGCTGCTCTTCTGGCTAGAACAGAGGTTTGGTTGAGCTCGGTGATGACCGCTTGTGGTTGTAATAAAAAAATGTGTATATTTAATTTTTATAATCTGGCATATACTCTATCATTTTAAACTGAACAGTTTTTGTAATGTCTTTTACCATGACATTGGGTGGTGTTGAACCTTGGGTTTATATCAAAATTCAAATTCAGAACCCTCTGTATAAACCCGTGTACACTTGATAGTATCTTAATCAATTGAAGAACATCTTTTGTGTTATGGTTTTTATCATTATAATCACTTTTTAATCCTTGCAGTTATATTTAGTTTTCAGTTCATTTTCAGCCCGGCTTTTTAACCAGTAAAAAATGGATCTATCATTCAAAGCAGACTCTGCATTTTAATCTGTTTACCATTTACAGAAACATTCCAGTTTCAAAGTTTTTATTAGTTTCCATAAGATCTTACAAGTCCGGCTATTAACATGTGTAACCAAATTGGCAAATTCAATATTTCTCAGATCAACATTAACTTTAACATTAATTCCCCACATCACCCAGCCCTTAGGCTAACACAGCTATCGCCGAAAGAAAAGAATGGGGGTGGACCAGAAGCATATTAACCTTCTGCTTTGTTCCTGCCCCCCTTCTCCTCTTGGGGCACGCCCTTCCATTCGGTCACATCCAGCTTTGGGGGTGCAGGGTTTCTCAAAGAAGGTAAAGCCACTTTCGCTAAATGAGAGCTTATGGAAAACGTTTTGGTATACAAAACAAGAAAAACACACATTAAGGGGGGAAAAAGAAAATACAATAATTGGAAAAAAAAAAAGGGGGGAAGGAGTCATATTATCTAAAGAAGAAAAAAACACAACCTAAGAGATTATAGTTCCCAAGAAGCAGGATCGATATGCTTAAACCGAAGCATCAGAGATGGTGGTATAAGCATTTGAGATCTCTTGGTATTTCAACCATGGCGCCCATATTGCCTCGAATTCTGCATATTTATCCTGCAAGATGCTAATTAATGTCTCATGGATCATGATCCAATTCACTTTGGACAACACTAGAGAGAATGGGACCTTTTCGGCTTTCCAGGACCGAGCCATTGATATCTTAGCCGCCAAAAAAAAAAAGGAAACCAGTTTGCTCTGCGTTCCAGAGATGTCCGGGATTGATTTGTTAAGTAAAGTATACTGTGGGTCTCTGGGGATAGGAGTCCCAAGAATCCTAGAAAGCAGGGCAAACAACTTGTTCCAAAATGGTCGTAATCCTGGGCACTGCCACCAGACATGTAGCATAGTGCCTTGCTGTTTACAGCCCCTAAAGCATAACGGGCTGACGCCTGGGCCCATCTTCGCTAACTTTGCTGGCACAAGATACCATCGAGAAAAAACCTTGTAGTTGGCTTCTGAAAGGGAAACATTTAAGAGTCCCTTAGTTGTTTTTTTAGAACACTGTTGCCATTCTTCTGGGGAGAGTGGTGTCCCAATTTCTAGTTCCCAGGCCACCATATAGGCCGTTTTGGTGAATGGTCCTAGTTGGGCATCGTAGATCAGGGACGTACCTCCCCTTTGGCCTAACCCACCCAGGCACCACCGTTCATATTGTGCCAACAGCAGGGTACCAGTCTCGGGGATGTGCAGGGTGGATAAAAAATGATTGATTTGTCTAAATCTGAAATATTCAGAGTGAGGCATTTCGAGGGTGTTTAAACAGTAGTGGTATGTGATTGGTTTATGAAGTTTAATAAAATCCCCAATCCTGTGCAGTCCTTTGTCTGTCCACCATTTAAATATTTTTAGCTGTAGCCCTGGGATAAAATCGACATTTTCAAATAAGGGCGCAAGGGGGGTGTATGTAGAGACCATCCCCTCCTTCTTTCGTATCTGATCCCATAAGGCAAGAGAGTGTAGTAAGGTTGGTGCCAGCGTGTTTGGCCTCTGCTTAGGTTTCATCCATTTAAGAGCCTCAATGGAGGGGCCTTTATGTGGACTAACTTCTAGCTTGACCCAGTCCGGGACAAGTGACTTGAAATAGATAGATGATAGTTGTGAGATTTGTGCAGGCCTATAGTATAAGAGCAAGTTTGGTACTCCTAAACCTCCCTGGTTTCTGGGTTTGGAGAGGATATTTCGAGAGGTTCTTGGTTTTTTCCCCCCCCAAATAAATTTTAAGATGGACTTCTGAAAATTAATAAGTTCCGTCTGTTGAATCGGGATTGATAGTGTCCTAAATAGATACAGTATTTTAGGAAATAAGGTCATTTTAATTGAATTAATTAGCCCTAACCAGGATATATTGTATGTGGACCACCGAGTCATGTCTTCCCTAAGGGATTTAAATAGTGGAGGGAAGTTTGCCATATATAGTTTAGTGTATAAGGGAGTGCGTTTCACTCCCAAATATTGTAATGAGTCTGTGCGCCAGTTGAATGGGAACGAGTTTTTGAGGCCCGACCAGAGTACGGCCGGGAGATTAATGTTGAGTGCTACTGACTTGGAAGCATTGACTCGAAGTCCTGAAATTTGTGCATATTCTTCCAGAAGTGCCATGATATTGGGTAGTGACACCAGTGGGGAGGTTACAAATAGCAACATATCGTCCGCGAAGAGGGCGCATTTATGTTCCTCCCAGGGCGCATTTGATCCCTTTTGATATCTGCACTATTGCGAAGTGATATTGCCAATGGTTCGATTGCTATAGCGAATAATAATGGTGAAAGAGGGCATCCCTGCCTAGTGCCCCTTCGAATTTGGACAGGGTCTGACAGATAGCCTTGTAGGCGAATCTGAGCTGAAGGGGAAGAATAAAGAGCATTTACGGAGCTGAGAAATTTAGGCCCGAAGCCCCAGGATTTAAGAAGTTGTAACAAGTGATCCCAGGACACCGAGTCAAATGCTTTTTCCAAGTCTATAGATAGTAGCATACCTTGTTGGGGAGGGGAGGCATCCCAAGGGTGGTTAAGCAGTGCGATTCAGTGCGAAGTCTAGAGCTCTTCTAACTTGGTCTGGGCCTTGTCTTCCTCCAATGAAACCTACTTGATCTCGGTGTATATAACAACCTATAAAGCTATTTAGTCTATTAGCGTAGATTTTAGATAGGAATTTTATATAGTTGTTTCCAGTGAAATAGGTCTATAATTGGAGACTTCCCCAGGGTTTTTATGTGGCTTAGGAATGATACTAATGTAAGCTCTATTCAGATGCGGGTCCAGAGGGGCGCTTGAGTGTAGGGAGTTGAAAAATGCCTCCATAAAAGGTGCCAGGATCTCTTACAGAAACATTCCATTAAAACTGCAGCTGCTTTTATTAAAATGTAAATATCATGTGAACAACAAAATTAAATGACAGATTTGCTATGTCACTAAATGTCCTGAAAAGAGAGAAGATCTGCATTCGGGATGATTAGTCCAAATATTTACTCTATTGCTGGTATTCAAGCTTTATGAGTCAACATTGTTGGGTTGTTTGCTATGCTATGACACTATTTAAAGCACAACTGAAGCCAAAACTTCTTTTTTTTGTAGTTTTGGATAGAGTGGAGAGGGATTAGAAAACTTGTAAGGTTTTCATCTCTGTCTTTGCCCCCATTAGGGGGGATTCTCCCTCCCTATTTGTCTTGGTGACCGTGATCAGTGAAAGAGAAAGAAAATCCAAATTTTGAGTTGTCACCAGACTAATAAAAGATGGGACATCTTGCAATGGGGACATTAGATCAGATGACTAAGGATTTCCCTCACTCCCCAATTGGAGACAAATGGAAAGCTGACAAGGCTATAACCCTTTCTTACTCTACCAAAAACTAAAAGTAATGATTTGGCTTTCGTTCTATTTCAAGGAAAACCTGTGCAGAGGGAAAACAGGGGTTGCCATTTTTGACCTCCTTCTGCAAATGCTAATTGTCTGAGTCTCTGACTCCTAGTAGGTCTAAACTCTGTCACCAAAATCTCTCATGTAAACAGTCTGCAAAAGTGCAAAAGCTCAAACTCACATTTATACATACAAACTGAGTCAGGGCAGCAACCAGTCTCTTAGCTCCGTCTGAGGTTTCAGCAATACAAAATGAGTCTCATGGTAAGCTGTTTCTGCTGTGCTGTTTCTTCAGATAACCTGTTGTTCCCATGGAATTCTCTATCATGCAAAATTAAGATCTTGTACATACAGTAGAGTAAAAACACAGATATAAAACAGTTTCTATACAATTGCCCCTAAACTGTTATCATTTTCCAAGGTTTATTACTTCACATATCTGGTGATGATAAGGTTATGTTATCCTTTTTTTTAAACTGGTTTTATTCTGTTAGGCATCTGTTGTCCCCAGAAGTACCAACTTTAGCTCTTCCAAGGAACACGGTAAGGCAATATATGTATGCATATATTTGCAGGCTTTAGATATAAAAATTGGAATAATTTGTAATGCAAGTTTTTTTCCCCTCCAGAAACAAAAACACTGGTTAATTCTAACTGGGCTACATTTTGTTTACATTTTGCAGCAACCATTATAACCTGTGTGACATTAGGAAGAGTTGTATATGGATGTGGTTCATAGACTTTGTATGTTCTGCTGAGCTCCATGGGTTTCCCCCTGGATGATGCAATTTCCTTTCTCATACCAGAAACCTATTGGTGGGCTACTGTGCTTCCACCTAGATTGGGTGTTGACTTAAATCATTCCCCTGCTGCTTATACACTCCTTCCTTTCTCTATCTCATCACTTTGTTTGCCTTCAGGAAAGAAAAGAAGCTCAGTATAAACTCCATGTTATTCTGGTTGTAGAGATTAAGGATTCTCTCTGTGCTGGTGTGTGAGCACTAGATCCTAGTGATTGGCTTCTCGGGCACTCGGCACTTAATGATGGGAGGAAGGGAACAGAGTGTCATACTTTATATACTATGAGGAGAATTTATCAAAACTGGAGCAGACAAAATCTGGAGCAGTTGCTCGCAGCAACCAATTAGCTTCTCTCTTCAGTTTGTTCAGTTAAGATTTGAAAATGAAAGGAAGAGGCTGATTGGTTTCCATGCACAGCTGCTCCAGATTTTGTCTGCTCCAGTTTTGATAAATTCCTCCCTGAGTATTTCTCTTCTGTCCTGGCAGTTGAATGGAGCAGCTGGGGGAATAAAGGAAGTTCAGATGGGCTGTCTACACATTGTAAAACACAGAAAAGATGCTAAAATCATCGAATGTGGATAAAACAAATGTGTTTTTATGGGTGGTGTCGCCAGTGGCTGAAATTGAACACTGGAGAGCCACAAACATTCCTATCGAATTGAAACTTTTATTGTGCTTGTTTTTGATTTGTTAGTAATATGATATTGAGTTCGAACTGTTTGCAGTGATTTAACTAATATTCTTGTGGAATCTCTGTATGTAAAGTCATATAAAGGTGGGGCACATTTGGTCATATGTTTTGTAGATTTTGTAAATGAAAGGAAATTAAAACTTCTACTGGGAACAACCCTAACCATTCAACATTTTCCTGAAATTTGAATGCCTGGTTAGTATTTAGTTTAATTTAGCACTTTGTGGAAAAGACAAAAGTGTGCCATGTGCAGAGGTTTGGAGGACAGTCCTTTGATACTTTTATGCTCCCCCACTCTTCCTTCAACTATTTATAAAAATAAAATCCAGAAGATAGTAATTGTAAAATAAAAACGTACAGAAACATGTCTTGTTTAACCACCTACTAGTGGCCATGTACTAGCCTGTATATGCCCCTTCATTACCAGCCCATTTTCCACTATTAAGTGCTATGATAGTTTGACAATTACTCAGTCATGCAACATACCCAAAAGAATTGCTTTGGTGTAAGTACCCCTCCAACTCCAGAAATGCAGGTCCACCTCCCCATTGTTGTTGTTTTTTTTCTTCTTTTCATTGTAGTGTTAGTAGGTGGTTATGTTTTGTAATGTTAAAAATGTTCACAAAAAAATATTGTCAAACAAGGGATAGCTAGAGACCGCTTATGGTGAGGTGGGCTAGATTGAACTGGAAAACCCTTCTTTTAACATACAGCACACCTTCTTAAAACGCAAGTTATTCCAACACAGGTCTGAAGTATACCTTATTCTGGTATACTGGACGAAGCCATGCTAATTGTTTATGATTCTTTGGCTAACTTTATCTCAAGGAAATACCTTCTTTTAGGGCCCATTCACATCACAACGATCTGTGCGGCAATGCATGCATTGCGATTCATTAGCCTTTTTAAAATTAATGTGCTGAAACTCGCAGAATTGCTTGCAAAAATAGGGCAGACTGCATTGTAATGCAAAGCATGGGACATCATAAGTTGTGTTGCAGCACACATGCATCTTGGAGGTGTGTTAGGGAGCCAGTCACAATGCACCAATCTATGTAACGTGTGTTGCAGTAACATGCACTTTATTGCAATCCTAAAGTTGTAAATGGGCTCTTAATCAGCACAACAAATTACCAGTGGTTCTCAAACGTTGCATTCAACTGCATGTATGGGTTTTGAGGTACATATTAGGTCAGTTTAAAAACAGCATTGTATGGGCCAACCAAGACTTTCAGGGTCAGCAGACCTCCTGAAGGACACCAAATTCTTTGCATGGTCAGTGTAATTGTGCAATGTGAAAACTGATCATTATGGCTGACTACCAATTGTTATCTTTTAAATTTTACAGAATGACAGTAAAGCAAATACAAAATCCACAAAGTCTTCAGCTCGGAGCAGGCCATTTTCTGCAAACAACGGGAACAAACCAATTTCTAAGTAATAAAAAAAAAAAACTTTATGATCTCTCTTAAATATATTTCTGTTATTTGTAAACTTCTGGCCTGCAAATGTGCATTATGATGAAGGGCATGTTTTTTTCTTTTTTTGTTTTGAGACCTCGACCGAGAACTACCGACACGCAAGCTGCCAATGACGTTGCAATCCCCACAGATATTGCAGACTTTTCCCTTGCAAAAACCATTAGCAAGATTGAATGTAAGCTGGAGGAGGGAGAGCTGCCAGACAACACTGAAGATGATGTCATTCCAGGAATAAGCAATGAAATTGGTGCAGGTATTTGGATTTCTGTTTTAACACAAAGTGATATGTATGTATGTATGTATATACAAACAAACGTACACTCCGTTTGAGAGTTGATTACACTATCATATTTTTACCTATATAGTCTTTTGGAAATATAATGGCTCTGTCCCAATTCAAGAAGAAAACATTTAGTTAAATAGACTGTCATCTACATAGAAAGAAATTCTCTCTTGTGGGGTCCTTACTAATATATCTCATGCAGTTGCTTAGATTTATTAGAAAAACTGACTTTTCTGACTTTTTTTTTTTTTTTGTCTTTCAATCTAAATAAAGATTACTAGACAGTCTATATCGATATGTGTTTAATGGAAAGGGCGGTTTACAGTTTTCCTGTGTTTATGCTGCGGTGTAATATCCTGCTTTATCAAAGCATATAATCGATTCAGCATCTTTCTTTGGTTGCTAAGACCAAAATAGTTTGCAAATATTTTAGCATCAACATTAAAAGATGAGAAGAAGAAAATAGAGCATCATTTTGGGCTTATGCTGTTTTAAGATTGGCCATAATCAGCACTTCTGGCATGGAGGAGTAAGTATAGGGCCCTTTTGAAAGAGGGTTTAAAGGTGGGGGTTAAAGCAGACCTTTACCCCCTTTCACTAAAAATCACCTCAGCATGCAGCTCTGCATGCTGATATGAAGTCATCTTACATTGATTACTTAAAATATTTTTATTTTACTTACAATTATTGTTTTTTCACTTGCTGGTCCTTTTGGGCATTTACTATGCTGGGAAGCTTACATCAGCAGTGAATTGCTGGGACTTCTCATCTGTAATCTAATGAGATCTCAGGGAAAGGCATTTTCCTTCCCTGAGATGATGTGCATGCTCACGTGGCCTAGTCACATGTGCCAGAGTTCCAGGAAGTAAAGACAGATATATTAATCTGCCCAAAAATGACCACTGTCAGAAGACTGGGGAAGAAAAGAGAAATAAGGTATGCAAAGAATAAAAAGCCGGCAATTATCTAGAAGTATGTGATTGTTGATTGTCATTACTAAATATTTCTAAAGGTGTATTTGTTGTCATTTCAAAGATATGGGTAACGTTCCTCTAAGTATTAAGTATCCTAAACAGAAATGACAACTGCTCCAATTAATTTATAACTAGCTTTTTAAAAGAAGGTGCGAACAAATGGCTTATCACACAACGAACAGTACAAAAAATTCCCAGCACAGAAAGTAAGTACAGCTAAGCAGTCCCACTTACAGGGTAACCTCGCTGGTTAAAGTGGGGGGGAATGTTGATTGTTTTGACGGCATTGCAGCAAAGCCCATGTGGCTATGAATTGTTGGAGTGTAAGTAATAGATTTACTTCATGTCACATCCAAAGGATGTCTGTCAGCTCTGCTACTTCTGGTCTCCCTTGATATTGGGCTGCAGTGTCAGCATTGGGCATGAGCCAATGCAACTTGTGTGTGAGATGAGACCATGAACCGCAGACCCTGAGCTGACAGTGCCGGCAAATGATGCATATAATGTTCAACTTTTGTGTTGCAACAGTGATCAAGGAAATATTTTATTAAACACTTTAGTCAGTAATAACTCAAGGTTTTGAAAACTCTGCTTTCTGCCAGAGAGTAATATCAGGTCATGGGATTCTGTCATATCTAATTCTGGCTTCTGTGTGACTGTTCTGTTGGTTGCTGACAGTGATTCTTTCTGCTCCGCAGCTCTGCATGCTTGTCATATTTAGTCAGGTGTCATATATTTGATGTTTTGTCCAGGCAGTGCCATTTATATAGTCAAATAAAATATAATACGCCCATTTGCTATCCAAAACTAATGTTTCACTTTTGGGTGTCAAAATGCCAAATCCTTTATCACACCAGAATAGGAAGAACATAGTGGAATTGAGAGGTTGAAAGTTTGTTATGCGGAAAAATTAGCAAACTCAATACAGGTAACCCTCGATTTACACCAGGGTTAGGTTCCAGAAGGAATAGTTGCAAATAGAAACCGATGTAAATTGAAACCCAGTATATTATGTCAGTCAATGGGAAGTGAGGGAGTTAGGTTCCAGGCCTCTCTCAAAAATGACGTAAGTGACATAATACACTATATTTAAAGGTTTGAAAGGAATGTTAGGAATGCTCCAAGGGTACCCCTGTGCCCCTAACGTGGCTCTATGTGCCTCTATGTGGCCAAAATAACTTCTGTGCACCTCCTATATCTCCAAGTGTACCCCTGTGTTCTTCTGTAGCTTCAAGTGTGCCTCCAGCATATCTCTGTGGCTGTGTATATCTATGTGTACCCCTGTGCCACCAGCGCATCTCCATGTGTGCACCACCATACCTCCAAGTGTCCCTCTGTGCATCTCTGTAAGTATCCACAATTTTTGGATTGAGCCGCGATCTTCCACCTGTGCCCCGATCTAGCTGCCAGAGACTGTGCACAGTACTGTACATACTGTTGTATTCTAGCTACTTGCAGTTGTTTAGCGTTCCTCTGCATATCCTTAAGGATACACTAGGTGGCGCTGTTGTTACAATGGTGGTCACGTGACTGGACAAAAAAGGGCGCTATTTTGAAACGGTGCAAATCGAACCGGAACAAACTGAGGGCTACCTGTATTTTATTTTCCAAAAAGGTCTCAAGAAGAGATCTTTTAAATTTAAGTGTTTGAAGTCAATATAAAAACAACTGCTTTCTGATCTTAGCTGTTACAAGAAGTCTCGGCGTAGACTTGAAGACAAACTAATTTACTACCAGCATGGAAGGTGATTCTTTACTCTAAGTATGATCATAATTTTCAATTCTCCGCTGTAGAAGGTGAGGTAAATCCTCAATTAGGATTGCTGTGTCCCCTAGATATATAATAACCCAGTGAGTAATTCAGTACAGCAATTCTGAACATTTCTAAATTGTCAGATTTGGATGGACAGATAATTTAAGCTAACTTTAAATAAATGTAAATATATTGAAGTGAAATAATTGTTATATGGTATTTTGTACTTTCATTTTTACAGTAAAGGATTCCTATGTAATGTCAGGCTAGTAGGAACCTCCGTGTGAGGGGAGGTGCATCTGACACTCAGTAGTGTGTTGGATGTAAAGATTCTGCTAGCGGCTTAGCTCTGCATGAGAGCAAAAGTTCCAGAAATGCCAAAGATTTGAGAAGAATCAAACGTGAAGCAATCAGGAACCCATTATCCTTCAGTGCTGTCATATTCCAGAACTGCAACCTACCTGCAGTGCCCAGAAGTACAAGGTGTTCAGTGGTCAGAGACATGGCCAAGGTAAGGAAGTCTGAAACCCGACCACCACTGCAGAAGACACATAAGTTGAAACAGCCAAGAAATATCCGAAGACAGATTTTTCAAAGGTTTTATGGACTGATGGGATGATAGTGTCTCTTGACAGACCAGATAGATGGGCCCGTGGCTGGATCAGTAACGGGCACAGAGCTCCACTTTGACTCAGCTGTCAGCAAGGTGGAGGTTGGGTACTGGTATGGGCTGGTATTATTAAAGATGAGCTAGTTGGACCTTTTTCGGGTTGAAGATGGACTCAAAATCAACTTGACACGGCCCCCTTCCTCACCTGACCTAAACCCTATTGAGAACTTGTGGGTCCTTTTTAAACAAGAGATTTACGGTGAAAGAAAACAGTACACCTCTCTGAACAGTGTCTGGGAGGCCGTGGTTGCTGCTGCACAAAAAGTTGATCGTCAACAGATGAAGAAACTGACAGACTCCATGGATGGAAGGCTTATGACTGTTAATGAAAAGAAGGGGGCTCTATTGGTCCCTGTTTTTTTGTTGTTGTTGAAAATGTCAGAAATGTTTATTTACTTTCACAGATGAAAAATAGACAAGTGAGCTGGGAAAATTTTCATTTTCCATTTTAGTTGCATAATAATCCTGCACACTAATAGTTGCCTAATAATTGTGCACACGTAGATGTTCTCACAAGAAAGCCAAAACATCATCACTTTTACTTTCTTAAATATTCAGGTTTGAGGTTTATTAACATTTTGGATTGACCGAGAGCACTGTAGTTGTTCAATAATGAAATGAATCCGCAAAAATATAACTTGCCTAATAATTGTGCACTCAGTGTAAGTTAAGGCATGATAGCCTATGTATAATATTTGGGAATAGACATTCACTGTTGAAATACCTTTTTAAAAAAGAACTTCATCCTTCTCTTACAAATGACAACAAAGGCACCTTTTTAGAAATGTTTAGTAATGTCAATCTAGAAACGGATGTCTATGAGTAATTGCAGACTTTTTAATTCTATGCATATCTTATTTTGTTTCCTCCCCATTTTTCTCATGGTGGCCATTTTCACTAAGGGTAGATTATTCCATATCCTTTTACTTCCTGGAACTCTGGGTTTGCCACCTGGGATATATCACAGTGCACATCATCTGAGGGAGGACAAATTCCTTCTCCCCGAGACCTTTCTTGATTTTGCAGTTTACAGATGAGATTTCCCAGGAAAGCACTGCTCATGTAGCCTTCCCAGGATGTATCTTGGAGGCCAGGATTACATCACCAGTGCTTCACTCAACCAGGAAGTGGAAAGACAGTAATTGTAAGCAAAAGCAACATATGCTTGGCTAACTAATAAATGTAAAATGATTTCATATTAGCATGCAGAGCTGTGTGCTGATGTGATTTTTACCTCTTTTCCTAAGATGTCCATAGGCTTTAGGCGGGGCAAACTTTAATCAAAATGCTGCATGGCTCTGCATTCTTTTGTAAGTTTAGCTAGGTTAAACTTAAAAGTAGTTTCTATGTAAAGAAGTAAGGGATCTGTTTTGGGGATTCTCACTAAATTATATATGCATTACACAATTGTTATGGGAGGAAATGCTTATTTATATTTCCTGTGTGCAAGATATCTTTTACATAAACATTACTATTTACTCAATTTGTATGTTAAAGCCACTTGACGTCCTTATAGCTCTGTACCCCCATGTCATAATGTTTAACTTATCTTGTCTAGGAAATGCCTTTTTAATGTTGTTTTTTTTTTTGTCTCCATGAAAATTATGGGTCTAGCCCTCGCGCGTTAGAGCCCTGTACTGGCATAACTGAGTAACATCCACACCCCTTCAGCACAAGTTTCATTACACAGACTTGTATTGCAATGTAGAGAGAGGGGTGTTTCTGACCATGTCTGTTAGAATTCTGAGAGCAGTGGGTCTTCTGGTAGCCATACATGTAGCAATTTGGGATGAATCTAATGTACAAAGTATTGCTAGCGCTCCATTTTAGCAAAACAAGAAGCAGGCCATTTTTTCACCATAAAGGAAATGCAACGTTTTAGAGCTGCTGAGAACTCCTTCCTCGTTGCATATCTATTTCTGTGAATTTAGTTGGGTTTTAGTGTTTCTGTGTAACTATTCCTATCAAAAGTATATTACAAATGTAATAGCATAGCCACACTAAAACTGTAAAATTAGGAAATGCATGTAGTTATCCTTTTATCTTTCCACAACTGGAAAGAACACAACTGAGCTTACCTTTTTATAGATTGCATTACAAAATATAATGCACATATATAACCGTTTATCTAAACCATGCATATGTGTTTTTTTCTTTTTACAGAAGCTCAAATTAGATTTCTGAAAGCAAAGTTACGGGTCATGCAAGAGGAGCTGGACAACATAACACATGAATGTAATAAAAAGGTAAAACCAATGTTCCAAGCCTGTTGGTGTTCTTGGTCTTTTCTGCATCAGCTGCCCTCAAATATTTTAGCTCCCAATAACCACAGGTGTATCTTTCCTGTACTCAGGCGAAACTTTGATATGTACTAATCGAATTTGAACGATCGTCCCACATCACTCTTGGGTCCCAGATCAGGGACCCAGAAGGACTATATTTTGTCCTGGTTGGGCCCCTTCAGGATGCTGAGATCATGCTGGTCATCTACTACACCACACATTCCCTTCCGTTCACACTTGTTTAATGTAATTGAATCTAAAAAAGAAGGAACCCTGATAATATGTGACGATTGTAACCATGTTGTATATACTTTTATATAATTTTATAAAACAACATACTCAGTAGACCCTTCCACATCCCCACACACATTCGGGACACTAGTAGCTCGTGGCTCGTTAGTTGATGTCTGGAGAGAGTGCAACCCAACTCGACGGGGGCTATTTTATTTTCCCTCACAACAACATTTCTTCTGTGACTGGATTCGAGATATGTTTTCTTGGGGGTAGGTTGCAGCCAAAGTATTTTGTTGCTCGGTAGTGGCTTGCAGTCTATCTTCACAATACTATTGCAAGTTAGTGTTTCCCAAGTAATGTGACTAGGGATGCACCAATTCTAGTATCGGTGCCGATACCAAGTATTTGCTCAAATGCTCGTACTCGCCCAAATGCTCCGATACCTTCCCCAATACCAGCAACTTTTTATCAGAGGGATCTGACCGGCAACGCCGCGAGGGAACATGCAGCCGGCTTCTCGGCCAGTCAGGAAGCCAGGCGCGGGTATGTCTCGCCGCCCGGCTTCCTGATTGGCTGTGAAGCCGGCTTTCCTGCCAATCAGCATGGAGCCGGCCAAACAGTTAATACCCGCCTTCCTGATTTGCCAGGAAGCCGGCTTGGTGCTGATTGGCTGGGAAGCCAGCTTCCCAGCCAATCGGCATCGAGCCGACCAAACAGCATGGAGCCGGCTTCTTGATTGCCCAGGAAGCCAGCTCCATGCTAGTGCAAGTACCGCTATCAGTACTCTGTATCGGCGAGTACCAAAAGATCAATATCAGTACTTGCATAAATTTAGTTTCTGCCTAAATAGAATTGTTTTAGGTAACCAGGGTTTAATAGAGTCTAATGTAAAGCGAATGTCCCTTCTATGTAGGAACCAATGTAGGGAGGACTTTAAAAAGATAGAAAATCTAGGTTGTAATGTAATTTTAACTTCTGCGGTTCTCTTCAACCAGAAAATCCAGTATGTAACACAGTAAAAAGACGGTCTGGTTTCAGAAGCATTGTGGGGTAGATGGCTTAATAAAAGGTTTTTATGTATTAACCCCAAGGTAGGGTAGAGAATGAGGAACCCGGGTGAACAACGCTTGCATTACAGGGAAATCTTGTGGGGTAAGCAAGATATTGAGGCCCTTCGATTATGCACTATTCACTTGTAGACCAGAGATTTGTGCAAAGAGTTCTAAGGTGCGGAGTATATTCAGTGTGGTGGCATGTGGGTAAGTTACAAAGAAGGATATTATCTGCGAATAGGCTAAGCTTATGCTGATAACCAACAATGTCTACTGGTTGAATCTTAAAGATGAAAAAGATAGGGAATAGAGGACATTCCTGCTGAGTTCTCTTAATGGCTGTGTACCAAGCGATCGACTCTCTGTGCTCAGTGTGCAGAGGGTAACCATGGGAGCCACAGCCGGAAGAGACTAGCTATTCCTGAATGTAGCATGGACTACTACACAAATTTTCAGAATCTCCAGCCGCCCTCCACATATCAGATTTGAATAGTTATGTTGGGCCAAGCTGTACGTATCCATAAAATATCATTCATGGAGTTCTGCTTTAATTGTAAGTGCATCTTCCTTTTTTAATTTTCTCTTGGCCCCCTGCAAAGTCCCACTTGCCTGCCAGTGAAGTCCACCTAATGCAGCTGCTAGTGATGGTGTGGCAATGCTGCTGCACCGCTCTTGAAATCAGAGCAGTTTACCACTCTCATATAGGTGTGCCACACGAGTAGGTCTCCAATGGCAGTGGTCACTACACAACAGGGAAATTTTTTTTGCACTAGGCATGGTTAAAAGCATTGTCGCTGCTTATCCAAAAGCCTATAGCTTTTCAAATAGCACCTGGCCACAATCTAGTCTTGCCCACTGCTTTCGGCATTGATATCACTGTCTCTGTTGCTAAAACCCTCCCCTTCTAAGCTGCACTGGGAATATGTGAGGAAGAGGAGCTAAGTTAGGAAAGGGAAAGCAGATTTTTTGTTTATATTATTGGGCTTGTGTATCAAATTGGATTTGGTATGTATTTACTCATATAGGAGTCTTTAGTTCTACTATAAAGCTAAAGTTGAGGTAGATCCGTAAATGTATGTTTATCTTATATTGTATCTTTGCATGTAGCTGTTTGTCTAGCACTTTCACTGCCAAACCAGTTTTTCTATTTTTCTCACACATTCTAAAAAACATATTTTTAACCCCAAGATTACTTAAAATTGCATGTGTGTAACTGTTTATCATATCTATATTTGCAATCTATAGTTACGTTTTAATGTAAGATGTCCATTTTTTTAAATTCTGCATACAGCATGGGATGTCTATTTGCCCAATGGTGTCCTTTTTGGGGTTTATTTTCCTGTTTTAGTGCTGTCATAAAATGAACGATGAAAAAAATGTCACATGAAAGGCAAAATACATTCACTCTAGGCCATATAACGTTCTCAGGTAGGTGACTTTTATAATGCACATACACAGTTTTAAGTACAGCGTTTAGTGTACTTGTCACAGTGTGACAATTATTTAGGTAAATTAATTATTTATAGAATGATAGGCATGTTACCTAATGCATACTTAAGTTGTCAAATTTGTTCTGGGGATCTGGTCTTCAGTTACCTCTGGTAATGAAGGGTTTACAGAAAATAACATTTCTCATAGTAAATTTACAACCTGTTTTAAGGACCCTTGAATGTGGTTTTTGTCTCTGTGTACTGAGTACTGTCAAGTGATGTTGGTGGCATAGATTTCATAGACAGATAACACTTGGCTAATCTTGCATGTTCAGTCTTGCCTCTCACTGTAATTGGCAGAAGCATCAGGAGCTAACAGTAGTGCATTGTAGACTGTAATGTCTGTAGAGCTGAATTAGCAATATATGGCTTTAGGATCCTTAACCCTGATTGACTTATTATTATTTTTTGGTGTATTAAACAATTATGTTCCTTAACGGCACTTGTTGCTGTTGGTTTCTATATAATCAACAGGATGATGAAAATCGAACACTTCTAGTTAGTGTAAAGGACCTGGAGGAAGAGCGTGTACGGCTACAGAGAACTGTGAACATACAGCAGACCCAAGCAGAGAAATATAAATCTTTATCTGAGGAAGCAACTAGAAAGAATGATGGATTACAACATCAAATGTCCTCACTAGAAAAGGTACAGTAACATTTATCTGCACTTTTGTACCAGAACTTATGCAGTAAAAACAAAGTACAGAAAAGGTCTGTGTTCAAAGTGTGGTACCTATAGCAACAATTAGAATCCATCTTGTGCTGGTCTGGCACTGGTTAAGTGAGTTTTGATTGTTTACTATGATGTACTGCTCTTTGCATTAAGTATGTTGCTTCTTTGCACTGGTTATTGAAATTTACTGTAAATAAGACAATCAAATGTAAGATGCATATGTTAAAAATGTAACTTTTGTTTAAAGACCTCCAGTTATTTCTAAAGTTAACCCTTGCAGTGGGGCTACCCCAGCACTGCAAGGGTTAACTGCTCGTTTCTCTAGGGGCCGGAATACAAAAGATACACTCGCCTGATCCTTGGTCCTGCTGCGGTGGCTTTGGCTGTGGCAAAATTCTAGGCCAGCTCAGGGTATAACCCCTCCTACTCCAGCATGCCAGTGTAGTAGGGGATGGACATATTTTGCTGCTATAGGCCCCCCTCCTGTGCAACATCTGAACCTGCTGAACTTGACATAGCGGGGCTGGCCTGGAAATGATCCTCTGGCACTGGGTTCTGCATAGGCCACTTTCCAAACTTCTGGTTAAGTTGACTGCAGAGTGCTCTCCGGGTCCAGAGCTGGTGTCATTGCCTTTGTGCTTGCCCAATCCCAGGAGATGCGGTAAGTAGGCCACCAGATCTGTCATCTGCTTCCCTTCATCTGAGAGACCTTTTGGTTTTTGTGGACATCAAAGATGCTTATGTGCATCTACCAATCTTTCTGGCACCACAAAGTTTACTGAGGTTTACTGTAGGGCCCCTGCACTACAAATTCATGGCCCGGCCATTTGGCCTCTCTTCACCTGAGATGTTCACCAAGGTGCTGGCTCCAGTGTTGGCCCTTTTGCCCTCTTGTGGCATCCCCATTGTGTGATACTTTGATGACCTCCTGTTGAGGGAACAGTTGGATAACATATTTTTGACTGTCTAGACCTTACAGAAGTTATTGTGGATCATGAACCATCAAAAATTGTCACTGGAACCGACTGATCACTTTGGATGTATCTGGTTTTAGTCCTGGAAACCTAATAGGCGAAAATGTTCCTTTCCTTGGGACTAATGGTAGCCTCCTTTTTGATGCAGTTCCTTTTGCCCAGTTTCATTACAGACCTCGGCTGTGCAATGTTCTATCGTTGTGGGACAAATAGGTCCTGCCCCTGGACAGGCTGATTCAATTGGCACCAAGGACCAGGTTATTCCTCGCCTGTTGGCTAAGGAATCTAGTACTGCACATGGGAAAGTCCTTGCTTTCAGTTCTTTGGAAGATACTGATGATGAATGCCAGTCTGTCAGGTTGGGACGGAGTTCTGAACACCTTGTCAACGCAGGGGCTTAGCATCGAAGGCATCTTATGTCTTGATAAACATCTTGGAGCTTCAACTGGATTTGGATGTCCCTTTAGCCTCGAACCAACCTGTTGGAGGGCCATCTGATTTTGCCTTGGTTGGACCATGCAACGGTGGTTGTGTACATCAACTTTGTGGAGGAACCAAAAGTCTCACTGCAGCAAGATAGGTAAAGCACATCTTGTCCTTGGCAGAACTGCATGATCCAGCCTTGTTAGCTGTGTACTTTGCAGGCATAGACAACGGGCAGGCAGATTTCCTCAGCTGACAGCAACTGGACCTGAGAGAGTTGTTCCAGGACCTGTGCCACAGATGGGGTATGTGAGATGTGGTCTTCTTGGCCTCCAGGTTCAGGAACAAACTGAACACGTTTGTATCCAGGTGCAGGGTTTTATTGGCATATTCATTGGCTCAATGGGGCCAGTTCATCCTGATCTTTGCCTTTTCTCTGCTAAAACATCCTCTATGCCTTCTCTGTGGGATTGAGATGGAGGGCATTCTGGTGATCATCATTGCTCTGGATTAGTCCAGACGGATGTGGTATATTCGATGATCTGGTTGGCATATGTGTTTACTCTGAGACTATAAATGTAAAATGCTCAGGCAGGGGAACACAGCCATTCGGGATTTTAGCCTTTCCAAAGTCGTCGTGTACTAATGTGTCCTCTCCAAACTGGCTTGATCTCATCTTAATGATATTCTAACAATTCATGCAAATTGATTTTTATTTTTTAAATCCCTGCCTGTGTTGCAACATAGCATTGAAAGGGAATACATTTTTCCTAAAGTGAAAGGCAAAGGTTCACTTTTACCATTCCATTCCATTACACTATATAAAAATCACACTGATGTGATACTGCTTCAAACAGCAGACTTTAACAGTTGTACTGTGGGGTAATTATCTGGGGGGTGCACACATTTTGTAAACGTGATGAAAACCGTGACTGAAAAATGATTTTTGTTTTTCAGATTTTTGTACAATTTTTTCACAATTGTCTAAACCCTTGGAAATAAAAGTATATGTATACCTGCTAGCAAATTTAAACCCTATCTCTCCTAAAAGAAAAAAAAAACTTTATATAATACATAAAGGTAGACTAGCAATGCTAAAAAGTATGAGATGTACAACTGAAACATCTCCAAAATGAACAAAAAAAAATGCCCTGGGACTCCTAGGAAATTAGGGCCCATGAGACCCATATCTTCAAAATAACAACAAACACACCTTAGAAATGTTTAGTAATGGCAATCTACAAACACATACTTCTAGCTAATTGGTGGCTTTTTTAATTTTTTTGCAGAACTTATTTTTCTTTTCTTCCCCAGTCTTCTTTTGACTGTAGCCATTTTAATTGAGGGCAGATTACTAGATCTCCCTTTATGTCCTGAAACTCTGGCACATGTGACTAGGACACGTGACCATATATAGCATCTCAGTGGAGCAAAATGCTTTTCCCTGAGATCTCCTGAGATTACAAATGAGATTTCCCAGCAATGCACTGCTGATTTAAACCTTCCCAGGATGCAATGCTTGGGCACGAATACATTTGCGCCAAAGAGGTCCAGGAAGTGGGCAAAAAAGAAATTGTAAGTAAAATAAAAATATGTTTGTTTAGCTAATGAATGTAGGATTATTTCATATCAGCATGCAGAGCTGTATGCTAATGTGATTTTTAGTCAAAGTGGGTAAAGGTCCACTTTAGTGAATATGTATCTGGCCAATAGAGTGCTTTTTCTATTTGTTTGGAGCTTACATTTGAACTCCAAGCAAATACATAAAAACATAGATCAGTTCAATTAAAATTTTTTTAACAAAGTGCACTCACATTAAACTACCCTTTCTAAATCTACAGTAGACTGGTAAAATGTAATAGTAACCTGGAGATGTCTGCACGTCTGGTCCACTTTATTGTGAAACACCTCAGATGCTGTGGTTTCCAGGGTGCTCTGGTATGCAAACAACTTCCCTTTGCTTGGCCTCAGGAGTGCAGGATCCTGGTGCCTGCTACACTGTACCACTGGAGAATTAGAAAGGTTAATCTGTCTTTTGTTTTGCTGTAAATGCAGTTAGTGTAATTATGTGAATTTGTTTCCATATCTGTTCACTGTAATCCTCTGTAAGTCAGGAATCAGAAAGGAAGAGGGAGTGGCAGCCCTCTGGTCAAATCAGGCAGCACTTGTAGTGACGAGACAGAACATAGAGAGCAGATATAATCAATAAAAGTTTTATTTTTATCATACTTTTTAATATGTTTCTTTGCGGCTTAACAAAATAGGAGTCTTTAAATGGTGCGGATATTGGGGGAAATGGGTGTGGTTACGGGGGTGTGGCCACTAAAGGGTGTGGCCACTGAGGGGCGCTGTAAAGCTTTCTCGCACAGGGCGCCTAAAGGCCTAAGGCCGGCCCTGATCACCTCAGGGTGTTGCTGCTGCTGCATTGTCCAATTGGCAGGCTGGAACTGTGGTTTTGACTAAGCTATATTGCTGTTGCATTGAGGTGAAGGGTTTGGCTATGCCATCGAGCAGGACTGTCAAACAACTGGCTGAACAGACATACAAATCTTTGGCAGGTACAGCAACTCCCATATATGTGTTTCAGCTGTTTGCCCTGCAGTAGAGCTTCAACCTCTTAGTCCCTGTTCACACCTGGGCGTTTTGATGCTCAAAGTTAAGCGCGACAAAACTCTCCACACAAGAAATCTCATTCATTTCTATGGCTCCTGTTCACACCTGAGAGTTCTGTCACAAGCTGTACAACGCCGAAAGCTGGAAAAGGTACATGAGCTTCTTTCGGGCAGATTACAGCACGTTTGGCTGCATAGACTTCAATGGAAGCGCATGTAAACATGCGACACAAGCATTTTGCACATTTCTGTGTGCGTTTTGTGCACACATTTGCTAATTCACCACAATGCATTTCAATCTGCTCATTAAAAACGCGTGTCTTTCTGACTACAAAGTTAACCTCTTTGCAGATGACCTCTTACTAACACTGACTCAACCCCACATCTCTCTGCCCAACTTATTCTCCGTTCTTCGTTCCTTCGCTGGCATATCTAACCTGACCATTAACGAAACCAAATCCTCAGCCCTTAACATCTCTCTCGGTCAGGAGGCTGTCCGCACCATCCAAGACAATTTCTCTTTTATCTGGCATGAACCCCATTTAGATTACCTAGGGGTAAAATTGACTACCACATACGACACCCTATACAAAACTAACTATTCCCCTCTATTCCGCCAAATTAAGGACTTGTCTGTATGGTGTTTGTAACTGCTTCATTCGAAATGTTGTTATCTCAGATACGCTATGTAAAACCAATAAAATGTTTTGAAATTGAAAAACGCGTGTCTTTGTATATGCACGTTTAAAAATGTGCAAAACACGCAAAACCATTACCCCTAAGGATTAACAGTCTTCGCCCATTCTGTGCAATGGCAAACCCAATGCGACAATAGCAAAATGAATCACTGAAATCAACAAGCAGTGGATTTTATGGCATGTTTGCTGTGTGTTCGCTATGTGCTGACCTTGTCTGTGTGATCTGCACGGCGTGTACTCTTTGAGGACCACATACAGTATATTTGTTATAATAACAGGATGAGTTGTACCAATCACTCAGTGGAGGCCAGTGTGTGAACACAATGCATAGAACGGACATATGAGGAACACTATCTCTTTATACACTAAGTTTCTTTTATCACTGCTGAAGATTTCTTAATTATCGGTTCACCTTGCAGCTCTTCATCTTGTATGGAAGGGTTAATCGGGTATAATGCCATATTTCATGTGCAGCACTGTTAGCTCCTTGTGCTGCCGTAGCAGCTAAATATTACAATACAGATGAAGGTTAAAAGCAACCTATTCCCTTAGGAATGGGAGTGAGGAGGGATATGAGGTCATTTTCTATTTTCTTGCTTTTGAAATATTAGCTGAGGTAGGACCTTGAAAGGGAGAATCGGTAGGACTTGCTAATAAGGGATGATGTAATGATACCCATGATGTTCTTGCAGTACTTAAAGAACATGGTCAGAATACAGATTGGTAATGGGAGTATTGGAAGGGAGGTGGACATGTATGTGCAGCATAAATCATGTAATTTTGGATTTTGGTGTGTGAATTATTGAAGTAAATAATTTGCTGTGAAGAAGCTATTAAAAATACATTTTGGTATTTTTGAAAGCAAACCTCATTTGATTACTTTATGTGATGAACACATTTTTATTACGCAGTTTGCTATCCTTGGCTGTATGTGATTTGCTGGAAACTTTGTGAAGAACGCTGGGTGTTGTAATTCATCAATGGAAGCTTACATTTCAGAACAAATTAGAGACGCAATGGTTGTCTGTCCTAGCTTTGCCCAGTTTGCTTTTAATATATAGCGTATGGGTAAAGTATTGCTAAGCATTTTAAGAAGGACAAGCTAGTATATGGGGGACAGGGGGTTGGTATTTTTGCAACCATAATAAATTAAAAAAACATTAAAAAAATCAAATAAAAATGATGTTGTGTATATGGCAGTAGTTAAAGGCTTCCTAAAAATCTGAATAATAGTATACATTTCCATTGTATACCTTTTACTGACGTATGAGGACACCGCACACAAGTGACATGGTGTCTCTGCAACTTTTTATTCCTATTTTAATCAATGGGAGTTTCCACATTGGCACGTATAGAAAAGTTACCCCAGAAAGGTACAATGATCACATTACCAGGTTAATCGGCTGGCAAGATTGTTGATGCCTAAATGGTGTGAGGCTGATGTCTTCTAATAATTATTTTACCAAGGCTATAGAGTCCCTTTGCTGCAATCAAGTATATATTGATTTCTGCACTACACAAAAATTTGTTCTGTGCAAACTGTGTATACATATAATGTTAGTGTTTCTTTTTGGGATTTTTTTCATTTGCTATCCCTAAAATTAAAGAGAGCCCAGCAGGTTATAATTTGCTTAAAAAAGTACAGAGCAGCTAGGGTGCAGCCTGATCAGCCTTCCTGCTCCCTTCTTTCTGGTGGGGGAGATATAACATCATGGCTTCAAGTTAGTCCCAGGGCTTCATTTCAATTTTTATGTCACTGCCTTGGATGCAGCACAAGGCTAATTCTCCCTAAACATGACATTATTTTTATACATGCAAGTGGGACAACAATCTTCCCGGCCATTAGGACAGCTTGCACTGTGTCTGAAAACACAGAAGTGTTCCAGGTAATTTGTTCCTTACAGGTTAGTAAGGGCCTGACTAATAAAACAGACCAGTTGTCTGAAAATAAACCTAAGTTTGCTGCTGGAGCAAAGCCTTATATACCCATAGACATTGTTACATGCTTGATGGTCCTGGAGAAACCAATGTTGCAGGCTCTCTGTGGGAGTAGGCCTTATGAGGAGGAGTGTTCTGGCATAGCTAATCACTGTCTAGCATAAGCATTCTTATTTAGCACAGACCACTCAACCCTGTCTTTATTATTTGCCTCGTGACCCATGACTGAAGGGAACCCAGAGCAGCAGTTTCTTCAGTCCAAGTAATTCTAAAACAGCTTCTGTAAAGTAGCCTAAAGCTATGGAGCAGCAGGTAGGGAAACATATCTTAAGCTGGTCATACATTGGCAAATTTTCGTACGAATGTCAGAATGCTTGATAATGTCATCAGAGGCTTGACGCATGTCGTATGAAATTTCATCTGATTTTGGAATGAGCGGAGTTTCTCGATCGTTTGTTTGAGAAAAAAAATTCCATCCTGCTCCTTTTTTATTTATTTGTCTTAAATGTTTTTTTTTTGGCCAGCTTAAGTCTCTTTTCTTAACTGTTGCTTATAGACCTCAGTCACCCAAGCTCAAATTTTACATGCAACTAAAGGAGTCAGTGTCCCCTTCCCTTCCTGTCTGCTGTGTTCAAATGGGTCATCAGGAGTCTCAAACAAGGATGATGTCTAAAGGCAAATGACCTGCTTTGCTCTTCCTTTAGAATACCCATAATGCTCTGTGAATCATGATAACGCAGACAGGAACA